GCACTGGTGTTGGAAAGGCAAAATCTGGGGCTCACTTAGCTTTCTCTTTCATCGCACTATTTGGTCATCATTGTTACTTGGGTAGAAAGGAGCCTTGTTTGGTTTCACGCAGGGACAAATAACAACTCTGACTGTTGTAAAAAACACAGGAATGGATAAGAACATAACAACATTAGCCAATTATCTCACTGCACAGAGAGAAATATTATCAACTCATTGAGCTATACAGGGTTATATTGTGTGCACACTTCAAACCTGGTCTTTGCACTTCGAAAATGAGGAGGAACAGTTTTACTACCACGTGAAGGCTGTTCTGCGGTTCAGTACAGCCCTCCTCGTGTAAATATGCAGAATGGCGGCATGTGCGACTTGTTTCTGATGTTTTATTGTCATTAATGTCATCTTGGTGGGCATTCCTTGACTGAAATGTGTATAAATATGCATTGTGGGGTTCTTAGAGATAAAGCATTTTAGATGCAGGGTTTATTTTTCCTTGAGGCAGGGTGAGTGCTCCTGGGTGGCAAATACTGTTTATTCCTACAGATGGGTGTGGGGCTATCCAGAGGGACCACCTGCAGATCAATGATGTGGGGACCATGCTGGATGAAGGCGGGTGGCCTTTAGAGACTTGGAACAGACTCACAATGCTCTGTGACACAGTGTGCAGTTGTGTAGCTGGACTGGGAGGAAGGAGGGAGCCGTGTGCCATACTAAGCCTTCCTTTGGGTTTTGCAAGCTCACTGTCGGGAAGGTGGCTCAATACTAGTGACCATGTTTTCAAGGTCAGTTACCTCACAACAAAGACAGCAATCTTTGGAACTTTCCCCCAAGAGGACCTCAGCTCTTTTTTTCAATCAAATTCTACTCACATGTTAGTCTTGTCTTTTCTTCCTTCTTGCCTTTACCTTGTCCCACACTTCCTGTTTCTCCATCTGTTCTGTCTTTCTTTCTCCTTGGTAATTGTGTGGGAGAAATGTGAATAGGCTGCTTTAAAAAATGTGAAAAATGAAGTGTGCATAGGATTACACTAATTTGTTAAAAAGCCAATCACCGTTTCTGTGTTTCCAGACAAATGGATGCTCAACATTTCTTCACATCTATTCTGGTAATGATCAAATATGAGCTGATATCTGCTACCCCCCAGGCAGTGATCTGGGCCGTGAAGAATCACAGATAGAAGAAGGGATCAACTCCGTGAACTTGCAGCTCCAAGCTGTGTAGCCTGAGTCTTGCAGATACTGGGTTGTTTGTGTTCTGCTCTTCTTCCTTCCCAGGAGAGAATGATTTCCATTGCTACAAGGTGAATTTGAGCCATAGCTGTGACCACAAACACACTCAGTGGGGTTCTCTCATCTTCCCTCTCCTCCTAGGACTCTGGGGCCTGGTGAACAATGCTGGCATCTCCTTTCCCTCTGCTCCCAACGAATGGCTGAACAAGCAGGACTTCATGAACATGCTCAGCGTGAACCTGTTGGGGGTCATCGAGGTGACTCTGAGCCTGCTGTCTTTAGTGCGGAAGGCCCAAGGCTGTGTGGTCAATGTCTCCAGTATCATGGGCCGAGTTTCACTCTTTGGTGGTGGCTACTGCATCTCCAAATATGGCATGGAGGCCTTCTCAGACAGCCTCAGGTACTGGACGGGGATGAGGCTCCGTTATGGTCCTCTTCCCATTGTTTTGGAGTAGCCTGTTACAGGGTTTCATTTATGCCTCTCCTTAGAGACCCATCTTGGAGATCTATCCCTCTGGGTTTGGGATTCTCTCAGAGCCCCTTTCTGGGCTGAACTGCAACCATTCCTTGTGTTGTGTAGAGCAAAGGCCTGAGTTCAGTTAAACTTCTCGTGCACTGGAGGAGTGTTCACAGATGGAAGCCTCTGAGGTGCCTTTGGAACATTGATGATTTGGGACCAGGTCGGACACATGACCTGTGTGATCCAGCTTGCCTGAGGTTTCTTACCAACTCAAGATTAATGTTGTGTTTTTGAGCTAAGACCTCTGGCACATATGTGTGTGTGAGAGAGAAGAGACCAGAATCATCAGTGCCATCTCTTAGAGTGGTTGTGCCCAGGTCAGTCATGGTGACCGTGACAGCTGCAAGGTTTGTGAAGGCTGGGAGGGTGGGCACAGGTAAGCTTTTGAAGGGCCTGTGGCCATGGACAGGTGTGGACTTCATGCTGTTGGCAGTATGCCCCCTGGAAAGGACTCAACTATAGGAGCCCATTGGACCAATCAGTGTCAGGAACCCTGCTGGCTACAGGCAGAGGTCTCTCAGACTGTATGTTGCCCAGTCTGCATTTGGGTTGAGCCATATTTCCTAGAAGGCACAGCAGACTAGGGAGTTCCTGGGCTGGAGAGGAGAAGCATGGGTCTGATTGTACATGAGGTGACATGGACAAAGCCTAGAGATACACTGGATATGAGGAAAAAGGGGGTAGATAGTGTGGATTTGTTTGTTTGTTTGTTTTGGGATGGGGTCTCTCCATGTAAATCAAGCTAGCCTGCGAGCTGTGATTCTTCTGTCTAAGCCTCCCAAATGTTGGGTCCCAGTGTCTGCCCCATACCTGGTAGGAGATATCTTTTAAAGAATTCCTTCCCCAAACCCATAGGATTTATATCAGTAGGCTGATATATACAATGTGCAAACATGCAGAGACAATTTCATCACCATCATTTTAAAATCAAGCCCTGCACATTACAGATCCTAAGCTTTCAAGTTTTTCTCCTCCCAATCTTACATTACGGTGTTGTTCTGTTACCTAATTGTGTTTTGCCTACCAAGACTGCTGAAGTCCTTTACCGCTGCTACATGTCTTGCAGGAGGGAGCTCTCCTATTTTGGGGTGAAGGTGGCTATTATTGAGCCTGGTTTCTTCAAGACCAACGTGACCAATAGTGAAAAGTTCATACTAAGCTTACAGGAGGTGTGGAACTGCATCAGCTCAGAGGTTAAGGACGTCTATGGAGAGAAGTTTCTGGAATCCTGTAAGTGAGCTGAGGAGAGTGGGGAGAGAAGCAAACCCCTGCTGGGTATCCTTCCTTAGTGTATGTTCAGTGTCTTCAATAGCATGAGGTCTACCCCAGGCTCTGTCTTGCTGCAACCTTAAGACATTTAGCCACATTCCCTTGTGCCACATTGGTTCTGGTCATGTAAGGAAGGCTTCTTGCTTATTAGAACTTGGGACACTCTTTCACCTGAACCCCTCATTATCATGTGGATAAAATTACACAGGAGAGGAGACGTGTGTGCACTCCCGCCCCTCTCGCATGGGAGAGAGCTTATTGCACATGCTTGGATAATTTTCAGTGTTCAAGGGACCTTCAACTGATGCATCCCAGATATCCCAGGAAGAGGTGGAGGTGGCTTAGTGTGGAATCACGGTTCACTGAGAATGAGTTGTGGCCCTTCTGGGGAATTTTGGTAGATTTGACTTAGGTGGGTTATGGATGTTAAGAGCATGAATTGTTAGGGAAAATTTTCTACCTAAGTTGATCCTCGAGCAGGAGTGGTGGGAGGTGGGGATAAACCTGAAACATTTCTCTTTCTGTGCAGATTGAAATCATGTAAATTAGTGGAACAAAAGAGCAATCCAGACCTGTCCTCGGTGACGGACTGCATGGAGCACGCGCTGACTGCGTCACCCTCGCACCCGGTACTCAGCAGGCTGGGATGCCAAGCTCTTTTACCTCCCCTTGAGCTACCTGCCCACGTCCCTGGTGGATGCCTTTGCGTACTTGAGCTCCCCAAAGCCAGCACACGCCCTGTAAAGCCAACTCTTAGTTGTGTGGTCAGGGGAGATAGGTAGTGTGAGGGCAGGAAGTGGGTGGAGGAAAGCAGCTCTTACACATGGGGCAGCTATCCCACCTTCTCGGTGCAAAGGACTTTCCTCAAGGATTACTCAAGACTGGTGAAGTAAGAGGGAAAGAGCCAAGGACCTCTGGTGAGGAACAGGGACTCAGCATCACTCACTGATGCCAGGTTGACAGTCAGCTGCTGATGGCTCTGAGCCACATGGCCAACCATGAGGAATCGACACACCTGGAGTGGCTGGGTGTGTGTGGGTGGATGCACAGCTCATGCCTCCCTTCCGCTTGCCTTCCTTCTGAGGGTACACATTGTTCTTGGCTGCTGTCTATCTTCTCACAACATAGAAATGGCCTGGTAGATGTAGGGTCCGTCTCCTTTGCAATCACTGTGTAGGTGGAATCAGGTGGGAGGGCAGCGCCAGTCTGTGTCCTTGGCCTCAATTGGTTTGCCTTAGATCTCTCCTCCACACAGATCCTGGCAGAGGATGAAGAAGTTGTCATTGTTTGTGATATCCTCCCAGTGCTCCATGAGGTCATAGGTGGGGCTGCTTCAGAGGTGCCTGAATCTAGAGTATGTGACGCTGGGATTAAGGCTGTGTGATTACTTTGGCATTGCCCTATTCCAGGTAGCTTAGACAGTGTGAAGGGGTCAGAAAGCAGCTGCTAAGGCCCCTGTTTTTGTACCTTCTGCCTCGCATGAACTGTTTCTCCTGTGCAATGCCTGTCTGCCATGTCACCTTACCTTGGAGGAGGGTGATCGTGGACTGAAAGGTCTTCAAACTGTGAACTAAATAAACTTTTCCTCCCTTAACTTTGGGTGTTGAGTCATTTTTCTCAGGAACAATAAAAAGGAGATGCAAACCAACTTCTTTGTCTTGAAATTATGGCTTATTTTGATACTTTGTTTTAGAAGAAATAGAACCTTGGGTACTGGAAAAGAGGACCATGCCCTGTGATCTGAAACATTGTTGGAGAAGAGGCGGGGTGCTACCACTGGAGGAAAGAGGTGCTTCTTGGAGGTCAAAAATGAGTGGGATGACTTGTGGAGTGATTAGATACTGCCCACTCTCAAGCCTTCCTGATACAGAAGGAAGGACAATTATTTCCCTTCCAAATCTTCCAAGGAGTTGAGCTCACTAGAGTAGAAAGAAGAATGGGCAAGCAAGGAGATGTTGAGAAGGACAGAGCACACTGCACTTTCTTTTGTGATGCCTTTTTCCCTCATCAACCCTCACTCCAAGGTCCTTGTAGTTATAAGCACTGCCATTCCTCCAGTGTCCTGTGTCTCTTCCACTCCCACACTGCTCTAGTGGCTGTGGTGCAGAGTCCCTAGTGGACACGAGTCTTTCATAACCTGTTCAGCCTTTGTGGGGTATCTGCTGTTTTCAAGGCAGCAACTTGAATCCCCCCTGGCTTCCTGAGACCTGGGTGTGTACGTTGCAGTATTGTGAGGATGTTCTCTAGCATGGGCTCAACTGAGTATGTGTATGCAGAAATTCATAAAGTTCGAGGCCTAAGTAGAAATTGGAGTTGAGAGGAACCTCCCCAGTATCTTAGCTTTCTTCCCTGAGTATAATGCTTGAGGATATGAAGCCTTTAGGGAATAGTGTATAATATTTCCTTTTTTTTTATTGTGAGATGAATACACACTTCTCAGGTAAAGAAACACAAATGACAAATAAATACATTAGAAAATGTTCAACATCATTAGCCATTTGAGAAATGCAAATTAAAACAACACTGAGATTTCATCTTACCCCAGTAAGAATGCGAGCAGTGTATATCTGAGAAATGACCAGAGTGCATTTTGATAACAGAAAGGTATGGTCGCTGCTGCAGAACCATTCATTTCCATTTTAACTGCTACAGAAAAGTATTGCAATCATACTACTTTGAGGTGCTGGGCATTGAACCCAAATGCTCCTGTACTGTAGGTAAGAGTTCTACCACTGACCTTCTTACCTGGTCCCTTTTATTTTTATTTTGAGACAAGGTCTTGCTAAGTGGCCCAGGCTGAGTTTGAATTTGATTCATTGCCCTGAGTACCTACAGTTAAAGTTTACCCCAACATACTTGGCTGAAATATACAGTACAGTACTTATTAACAGGGTTCTTGGTGATGCTTTTGGGCCCATTGATTTTAAAAGTTGTATTAAGTGTTGGGTCAGGCTTATGAATGTTAAGGAAATGAGGACAACCAAGAAAAATCCTTGAGAAGCTCTCAATCTCTGAATGGTTCATGCCAGCTCATTCAAAGTCACTTCATATTATCTCCTCAAAGGCAGAGGAAGAGCTTAAGGGTGTCAAGCCTCCTGATTTTATAATCCTTGACACATGCAGACATGAAGACCTCCCACACAGGGAGCACACTCACATACACAAGGTGAATAAAACTAAAGGTCACTGAGTGACTTTATAGTCTGGTGGAGCAGGTGTTCACAAAGTTTGAATCCCCCTCCCCCAAGTCCTCTCCAGAGGGTCAGAGAACTGTGAGCACACAAATTCCTGTAA